TTTGCTGTGGATAACTGCAGCAGCGTGCATTATTATTGGTAAATGGTGACCGTCATAAAATATTATATTTTTATTCACGTCATATTATTATTATTGTGCATACGAACGCAAAACGTATTTGTTGAAAACATTTACGAGCATTAAAAATGCAGAGCGTAAAATTACATTGTATTATTGTAATAGTATAATAATTGTATGGCAAATGACATTCGCGAAGGTATTATATCGTCCATCATCGTGTTAAGCGTACTTTATAATATTATATTGCGATGTATACATAAACGGTGTACCGAACAATTTTTTTTTCGTTTCCATATCGGTGCGTCGTCGCACGCATAAAAAAGAATATAAACGTACTTATCTATTACATGTATAACAGATTAAACACATGCGTTCACAATCACAATATAATTCTGCTTTACAACCGACGAATAATAATGATAATAATAATATAATGATAATAATAGTAGTATCATTGACAGATGGTTGGGGATATTAATAGTAAATTATTGTGATATCCCTTTTGATATTATTATTATTATTTCAACTGCTGTTGTAGTGCTGTGTGACATACAATTAAAAAAAAAAAAAAAACCATAAACGTATATGGGCTAGAAATTCAGTTTTAAAACTAACATTCGATGTACAACCCTTTGGTGTACTATAATATATAGGTATTACTTCTGAATATAATTCACTATACACTATGTTATTAGTATTATTATTATTATTATTATTATTATTATTATTATTATTATATTGCGCACGCACGTTTTGAAATAAACAATAAATAATATGTTGTTTTAAAAGGAAAAAATCGAAATTCATCTAAAATCTTTGTTATTACATATTTTATTTATTTTATATGCATGTTGACAAAAACACAAACGCCTCTTACACTATTTTGGCTTCTTAGAATGTCAAATTCGAATTGTGAGTATACAAAATACGACAAAAAACTCGATTCGTTTGCAGATAGATATTAAACAAACGGTTTTGTTTATTTATTTTATCGAAAATCGTCCCACTTATACAATAGAACATATACACGCACGCGTATATTCCATATAGTATTGCAATCTATATTCTATACTTACATCATTATTCTTAAATTATTTTACGGTTTGATATTTGTTTATATTATGGTTGATCGGAGAGTGCATAAAAAATTCTTACAAAATGTAACAACATTTAAAACGAACGCATACGGAAATTCGTATAATTTAAATCATTTGTCGTTAATAATGTACTCTCTTTTTTATCGAGTAGATCACTATAGTATTGTATAGGTGGAAACACAAAGAAGCGAACTATGCAATCCCAAAATATGTTATTAAAGTCCCAAAAATTTCTCTCGCATCCAATTGCCATACCTCGTACAATAGTGGATACAATTCCAAAGATCTACATATAGGTTATATAGGTTTGCGAAAACTGCAAAATCACATTAATGGTCAAACACCGACTGATGGAAGATTACAAAACACTCATCACCTGAAATATAGCACAAGGGCATGTGCCTGAAAGACAATGAAAACATTTTATTATTCCTATTTATAATTACTACTTATTTATTTTTTTAAACTTAATTTGAATAGTTGTATATAGGTTATTATAAGTGTATTGATCTTAAGACTGTAAACTCACCTTCAAAATGAGAATTGTTGTCTTCTCCACAAGCCTATAGGTTTTTGGAGATAATCATTTAAAATTTAAATACATTTTCTTCTTATATAATGTATGTATTCTTTTTAAATGAAAAAAAAAACAAATATATTATGATGAAATTTAAAAGAAAAATTCAAAGTAAAAAGCTTAAGCATAATTGTACTAATATTTAACCCAATGGCCTAGGCTGTAAAAATTGCTCGGATCAATAAAAAAAGTGAATATATAGTAAATATATATAAAACTGCCTCAAATTGCACACATAATCATTAAGGTATATTTTATTTAAAAAAACTGTGTTGCATGATAAGTTATATTATATGTATAAGAAAATAAATCATAATTCATAAATTGACAGTGAATATTGGATATTATAATATTTAAATATACCTAATTTATAAACGTTCGGAAAATTCCAATTTTAAACTTATTTGTATGGTAATTTTACTCTAGTTAATACAAAAAAAAAACCCTATACTTTATTCATGAGTTATAAATCATTTTAATATTATTTACTGAACGCTAATATGACAGGATATTAAAAAAATTGAATGTCATATAATTATATACATTTAAACATTTTAATAATTCTATTAATTCAAATTCAAATTTAATTTTTTGTTTTTTTTTATTGCTCAGTTAAGTCCATAATTTTAGATTTTAATATTTCTTTTTTGGGTTCCAGATCTCGAAACCCCTCCATAAATGTCAGCTGACAATACACGAGTATAACAATACTTTAAAATATTACATGAACTTAACCTCTTCAATGCTCGTTCGTAGATTACAACAATATTATTATATATCTATTGAATGTTATAACATTATGTTCTATTGTCCTGATACTTTCGAGTGGTATATGGACCGTAGTAATGATACCATATTATAGAGGCTAAGCGCTTCCCTTGTTTGTAAAAAATGAAACAGCAATAACAAAAATGACACCACTTCAATAAAATATTATCTAATGTGTTAAGTCATCGACCGTGATATGACCTACTTTATCATTGATGGTTAGTTTTAAGTTTATATATAATATTGCAATACCTTTCAATATTCTATGTAAGATGCATAATATGTACTACTCAACAATCAGTTTTGAGATTTATTTACATGCATTTTATTTATCTAGTTAAAAACATGATTATCTTTCATTGTTGCCTGTAAACAATTCTAAACGTTATCTATTAATTTATCTTGGACAAAAAAATGTAGTCATCTACAATTTACTTATTGAATTATATATCGTATATTTAGTTAATAAAAAAAATACTATGAAAGTATAGGTACCTATTTTTATTTATTTTACACTATCTGAGGAAAACATTCAAAACTAATGAAATCATAGATAATTTTGAACTATACAGACTTTTTAGTATTCAATTATTCAAAAGAGTCACGGCACAATCTGAATATCTCTGAGACGATAGTCACTAATTATTATTTCCGATCGTTCAACTGTGACGTCCGCTACATAGGGAAAAACACTGCGATTTTGTGACGAGTCGTATTATGATATTTTAAAAGTGAAAGTGCATTTCCGCATAACTGTTTTAGTTATTTTTTTTCTGAAAATATTATATTATATTAAAATAATATTATTTATTATTTATTCGTGATTTCCCCTTGAAAATAAATATAAGATGGATATATTTTGAGCAGCGCTATAGTAAAAATCTAGGTAATTATATTATTTCTGTACGAATAAAACACAAATCTATTAATTTATATTTATGTAAATTAGGTACCTTCATTGGATTTTTCTATAGTTTAATTAATAATATTATATCTTTATCGTCTATAGATAATATTTGAGTTATTTGTTCCCAACACTTCCGAGCCAATATATTTACCATGCTAAATGTAACCATGCAGGATAGCCGCGGTCGGCGACCCGCATGGCGTGTTTTACACGACCACCAAGAGCATATATTGTGAATATAAAATGTATTAATCATTGGCCGGTCGGATAATTAGATTCTGGTTATAGAATTGCGATTATTAGCAATAATTTCTGTCATAATTAGCGGTTGATTTTAGTCGATTGACGTTATCGAGTCTCGGAGATTCTGTCAGTCGTCGTTTATCAACGCATGTTGAACCTTAAGTCGGCTCGTACACAGCGGCCGACTATTATAATAGTCGACGCATTAAATCGCATCGAAACACGTATATATAATAATATAGTTACGCACAAAAGTATAAATCAAGTATTGCGCTTCGAAATCGTGTAGTAGCGCGTATGGTATAATAAATTATATACCAATGCGTATATTTTATAGACTGGTTATAGGTTATGTATACACGGGTCACCGTCAATCACCGCGACAGTACCTAATTCAAATGATTTAAAACCGTGTCGCATTATGCGGCAGTAACACAATGCATATAATATACAATACTCATCCCATAAGACGAACGATGGAAATCTATAAATGTATATAAACATGTAAATAAATATCGTGCTTTAATGATATACAGGGAATTTTACCGTGTCCGTCCCGGTCGTCGGAACTATTTATTCCTATTAAATTAGCCAACTTGTTATAAATGCTCGAAACTGTCCGCGGTAATGCAAATGATAACTTCGAGTTAGACCCACTCAGTTATCCACCTAGTTGAGTTAACTTAACGATAAAAACATTGAATTGTATATGTTAATAGTTAGCAAATGTTATGTTATTTAGCTCTGAAAATTTGCATTTAACATGGAAAAAATATTAACTTAAAAATAACTTAAACAAATCTTTGTTTGATTACCATTTGAATTAGAAGAATAATACGCATATTGTAACTTTATATATTTTTTTCAAATAGTAACTATACGTTTTGATAAAATTGTACCTATCCTATGGATCTCCTTCTTTAATGAATACTATTCTTTCCTATTGCAAAATATATTTGTATTTGTTTAGGCAATTATACGTTTTGTGTTAACTAAAGAATTATATCGATGAATAATTATTAGTTTACTATTTTATACAATTATTCTACACATGTAACAGCGTCAGGATATTTATAATGAGATTTGTAAAATATGTTGTAAGAAATATTTTGTACGATTTAATAAAATATTACATTTTTTTCTCTTGGATTTTCAATTAAGTTTAAGCAATTTAAAAAGTAAATATAGTATTACTGTACCAGCTAATTATTAGTATACCTATGTATAGTTATGTTTATATTTTTAACGTGTAATTGAAATATTGTATTAAGGACTCATTAAAGGTAATAATATAGTGTGTTTTATTACATAAATTATAAATGAACGCAAAATATGACAATAATTGTTGAATTCAACATGGGTACATAATATAGAAATCTAATTTAAATATCAATTAAAATATAATACACAACAATGTACCTACTCCAGTTGTTTCTCTTTAGATCAATTTTTCTAGTGTGGCGTCGAGAGGAGGCCAGTTTCGGTTAAGGTAGCCATAGTTACCCATTCTTATTTTTATTATTATGACGCCTTTTCTCCATTATGCGACAACAGTATCGTGCATAAAATGCACACACCGAAACCTATCGCCGTAACAGTGACCAATGGGGGATAAAATTATTTTTAATGTTTTCATTATAATATTAAATAAAAGTTGACAGATGAAAAATTATAAACAACAATAAAATAATGTGCAATAACGACAAACGGGTTGGTGTCGTTCAGGGGCGGTGGTATGCGTAAGGGTGTGTGGTATTAGGGTGGTAGTATAGGGTGGTATGTCAGAGCGCGAATACCGTGCAGTGCGGCCGGGAGACGAATAATAATAAGAATCATCGTGTAGACGATCAGTGTTCAGCGAGTGGTCTGTGCATCGTGAAATACCGCTTGATGATTTCGGCCATGAGCTCGCGGAACTCAGGGGCCGCGGCCGTCGAGCGGCTGTCCAAGTCGCCTCTCCCGTCGTCGCCCGGCAAGTGGCTGTAGCCCTGCGATGACTTAGACACGTGCCGCTTGGCGCAGAACAGCAGGCCGGTGGTTGGCAACAGGTTGAACGGCGGTGGCATGTCGTTGATCAACATGTAGCTGACATACACTTGGGTCCGGCCAAAAAGCCACTCGTACTCGGCGTTATCGGTAACTCCTTGAAAAGTGTCCGACATTGCAGCGATGAGCATGTTCATCATGACGACGACCATGAGCACCTCGAACACGGCGAACAGCCCGTAGCCCACCAGCTGCGTGAACTGGTGAGATTGAGTGGCCGCGTCGATGCGCCCAGTGGCCGCCACCGAGTTGCCGACCACCACGTTGGGCGCGTCAAGCGACGTCATGCAGAATATGCCCCAGAACAGGGTCTTAAACGTGTCAGCGACCGTGATGAACGAGTCCTCCTGCCTGGAGGTCTCGCCCGTCTCCGGGTCCTTGTACACCATCCCGGCGTAGTACGAGTAATATGTGCCCAGGCCACACGTGAACGCCACCATGATGATCAGCAGGAAAGTGGTGAACTTGCCAAAGTCATGCAACACCTTGCCTAGGGACACCTGCATCGGGCCGATATAGTAGTTGAGCTGGCACAGGAATAGTAGCCGCAGGTACGCCATGACGGTGGCCATGGTGAACAAGCTCTCGGCCACCAGCTGTGGGTGCATCCAGGGCCAGTACTTGCGGTCCAGGTCTTCGGATCCCTGGCTAATAACATCTAAGGCAGCAGCCGTCCAGGACAAGAACGCTAACGAGAACAGCGTCAGCTTGACCGTGTCGAACACGTTCCACAGGTTCTTGAAGAACCGCTCCGGGCCCTGCTGTAGCCGCAGCTTCATCTTCTCCAACACGTGGCCAACCACGAACAAAACGATAGGCAACCACGTGCCCAGTTCGGGCGCTCCCCAATGCGTCTCGAACTTGTCGGCGTTAGATTGCCTAAAAAGCAGACCGAGGAACACCAGGTACGTGACCAGGCTGTTGAACATCCGGTTGATCGGCAACCGATTGAACTGATTCAGTTTCGAGTTGGGCACCAACATTCCCAGAACCACTGTCATGGGCAGCATAATGAACCGCCTCAACAGGTACAGAAACTTCCATGTCGCCGAGTACGACTTCCACTCGATCCAATCGCCCAGCCACGCAGTCTCCAACACCTGTTGGATGTTGGTGTGCGCTACGAACTCCTTTTGCTTGTAGTCCATGGCTGTGATCAGTCTCGGGTAAGGGAACTTCCCTCTAAACCTACATCCGTCACGATTTCGCAACATGATCTTAACTTCGTCCGACGTCCTGCAGTTTACTATCATTTCCACCGCGAATTGTCTTACCTGAAGACCAAAACAAGAAATGGTTTTTTTTTTATAGCACATGTATTCTATTAAAATAATAAAGATTCGTGGTCACTGTAACCGGATATAAAATATAATATATTGATAACGACCGATCGTGGTATTATACGAGTCGTACTAACATTTTCAAAACTCATAGAATTAACAATTTATTTTAGAAAATGTTGATTCTCATCAGAGATATCGTCACAGACCACTCCATGAGTGGTATAATTAAATCTTAGTACTTATTAGTTATTACAAAAAATATGGTCTTTGAAAATGTTAAAAACAAAAACTTGAATAAATTAGAATTTTCTACTTTTAACATTCAATTGTTAATATTATTTTCAATTGTTTGATAAAAATTGTTTTAAACTTCTTAAATAAAATTGAATATTAATATTCTGTATCTACATCTTTTTATATTGAGATATTTTTTTTGTTTGGTTTAAATGGAAATACTAAACATAACGTCATGATGAAACCAAATATTCAAACCATCACTTACAATGTATGTAAATCTTACATACATTCGTCAACAAATTAATAAAGTTTTATATTTACATAATTATATTATATTTAACAAGTAATAAATATATAGGTGCTTAAAATCCAAAAATAACCCTCCCCTTACAAAAAAAATTATAATAAGCACATAAAGGATTCAAAACTTCTCTAAAAGAAGCAAAAGCTTATAATATATTAGTCAAGCATTATGTATTCGACAAATAAGGCAATTAAAAAACGATAGAGTAGTATTTTACCTACGATATAATATTCAACACTAATCTGATAATTACTAATTTAAAATTTACAATCATGAAATTCATAAAATATAAGTATAAAATAATATTGTTTATATCTACACCCCACTGCCCCACGAAACTCGTTATATCAAGGATGGCGTGCCAATGGCACGTTGGCCAATTTTTTAATACCCCCATCACGATCATGAGAGAAGCTAGTATATAAGTACCTATATGACATATTACTGGCACGTGAATTTTTTTTTAAACTTTGATTACAACATTTTGGCAAGTGACCCAAAAAAGGTTCACTACCCCTGATATATATATATAATATATACATGTTAACGTAAATTATGTTATTTGGGTAATAATGGTAAGTGCAATGGCTATGGATAGTCAGTATAACATTAATAACAATATCATTAATATTATATACAATTGTCAATAAATCACTAAATAAATAAAAATGGAACTGTCATACAGTAGATATCATTTTTTTGATAAATAAATAACAGAAATAGGTGCAATAAAAAATATTATAATAATATCAGTCTAGAATGGACACATGTAAATTGCTAAGAAAAATTGTTGAATACCTTTTATCTAACAATAACGGACAACGTAGGTATCTAAGTAATGCATAGTAACTTAAGAGAAAATCAATTACATAGTATGTTATTGATAATGTATTAATGTTCATATTTTTATTTTATTTTCTAATTTTACCATTATAATTAATATTATTCATACTATGATTTTTATTTTATTTTCTAATTTTACCATTATAATTAATATTATTCATACTATGATTTTTAATTTTATCATAATTTGCACTTAATAATCATAATGATATTAGGTACATTAATTTTTAATATTATAGTTAATTATTTAATTTTATAACTGGACTTAGTTATTTTTAAATCGTGTGTTAGAAAAAATACTAGCTTGTGTATTGTGATCCATACATTTTATAGTTAGAAGCCTCACGAAGGGTACATTTTTCTCTTAGGAAGATGTTTTTATTATACTTGTTTTATTTTTTCTAGCATTTGTAATTAATTTTATTATATACTTTAGAACGAATATTTTTTTTTAAAAACGCTATATATTTTCATCATAATGGCATAAAAATAAATAACCTTCATTATTGACAATGGCTAAAAATGGACGGATTTATATCGTCAAAATCTGATGGATGTGACATTGCCAAAACTTATGCACGTCACAGTTACTTCCTAGTAAACCACCAAATATCGTTTTTGACTATAATATAGTCATCTACGATAATTCCTTAATTTTTTGTCCTCTTTTACCGTGGTAAAATATTGGTTTGTATACACCATATTTTACTAAGTTTATTCTTTAATTTTTTTAAACAAATGAACATAAGCGAAAACATTTATGAATATCGTGCTCTTTTTTACCCGTATTAATTTATTAAAAATATTAAATTAAAAACGAAGTAATGTCGTAACAGCAGGCATCAATCGTTATAAATACAATTAATACAAAAGAATTAGAATACTTAATAAGAAAAATAACAATGCCGCATTGCCGCTTTACCTCCAAAAAAATAAACGAATAAAAATAATAATTCAACTGATAAGTGATAACACTGACAACCGATGTACCGTATTATATTAAGCAGTGAACAAACTAAATGTACACAGACTTCAGTCAAATCTATACTCTAGAAGTCTGTGAAAATTTAAAAGTTATAACCATTAACATAAATCATAATCATAATAGTTTGCTAACCATGGTTGATATAAATTATAAGTGATAAGTTATTCACTATCAATATTTTCTGTGTATAATTAATATATTATTTTATTTATAATCATCTCTAATCGAACACGTTTTAAAGAAGAAAAAATATTTTTCAATATTTCAAATTCAGAACCCTAATAAATTGTACCTATGGTTGTGAATTTTATAATATTGTACACGTGATGTTAGTTCACCTGTGAGGCCATATAAGTGTACGTAGCGTTGTGCACCTGTTCGGCTGAACCGCACCGCAACAGTTCTTCGTGCAACCGGAAGCACTCGAGTACCGGATCGGAACTGGATGACGTGGTGCACATGAAGGTCGGATTGCTTATGGCCCAGTACCCGTTCAGCCGCTCGCAGCTATCGGATACCACGTCGCCGCGTGTGGCCGCGGCTACACACTGGTCACCGCAAGTGCACCGCGGTGGATGCGGCCTGTCCAGCTTGTGGCCGCGGTTAACCAGGTACTCGACCATCTCGTACAGGCCGCACTGCGTGGCCAGCATCAGCGGCGTCATGAACCGCGGAAACTCTTCCGAATCGATGTCGTTTTCCCGGTAATTTCCTGCAAAGTTGTCATTTGACTGTATCCGATTCCAGCCGTTACCTCTGCCCCGGCTTCCGGTCTTGTTGTTGGCCTCGTCGAATTCCAGAAGTCGGTCCAACATCTTGAGGTTGTCGTACGTGATCGCCAACAGCATCATGTCGCCGATTTTGATGTCTGCGGTTTATATATTGGTAAACGTTACCGGCAATGATGAAAGTTAGGCACTGTCAGGAACGATTAGAAAATAATGAAATTGCCTGAATTATGTGGGAATTGATATTATTTCCTTGTCATTTCATAATTTTTGACAATGCCTAATAAATGTGGGAAACAGTACCACAAAAAGCTTTCTAAAAATATGTATATATTGACTAGGAGTTGTGATCGATATGTCACAATAGTCATATCATCCATCAAGTACCTACAACTAAATTAACTTTACTTGTTAAAAAACATGATGTATTTTCATATGGAGAACCACTTAATTATTTGCATTTAGAAGCGCAGTTAACTATAAGCCTTACATTTTATTTTTAAAATCCCTGTGATCCAGTGATAAACCCGATGCACGGGGTGAGCAAGTCAAGCACTCTATATCATTAAAGATTTTAAGTATAAATAACTTCACAGCAAAGTACATTGGTAAAAATATAACAATTCCTAATAAGCTACTGTAATTATATTTTGAAATAAATTATACATATTTTAATCGTTGCAGGATATCTCTCAAAGTACTTATTAATTCCTGAATAATCATCTTTGCCGGTAACATTTTAATATAATATGATTTATAAGTATGTACCACATATATCCTTATGTGAATGTATTATATATGTCCTTTATTCGTGTGTTTTGTATGAACAGTTGATTAGTTTTATATATTAAGGTTCAAGTTAAAAGAGTCAACCCATTAGTTGTTAACAAAGTGTGCACAAAAATCGACGAACATGTTTTTTTCACGATTAAATGTACTCTATTTATACCAAGGGTACCCACATTATGGTTTGAAAATCCTTTAATACAATAAATAAGACTTAGAGGAACAAAAATAAATAATGAAAAAATTACACACTTAGGAACATCGTTGCGAATAATTTAGAAAATCAAAATTTGTTAAAAGCTTTAAATGTTTAAAAATTTTCAACAATGAAATTTTTCAATTTTTTCTTTTTTTTTGTGCAACAGTTAGTTACACGAATACCGAGAGAAAAGCAATATTCACAACAGCACCTCCCCCAGTCATGTTTCAAGTGGTGAAAAAAAAAAGGTACCTGAATACCGGTAGAGGTAGACGTAGGTAAGAGTAACAAAAATTCTTATAATTATTATAATAACGATAGGTTATGATAATAAAGAGACCATATTGTTGTAATGTACTATATTTCGGTAAGTGTTTTGTGTTTCATTAACAAATAGTCTATAACTTAAAAAAATAAATAAACTGCAAAATCTGTACAAAAAAAATGTTCATAGTTTTTGAAAATATTCAAACAAAAAAATTGTCATAAAAATGAATATATTAATATAAATGTGTTTTTGAACTGCTATTGTTGCAATGTGTGAGTAAAGTAGGTATTGAATTTCAAGCTTTTTGACCCAACGAATAAAATTCTGTTGACATTTCTGGTACCATAATAAATTATATGCAAATTTTAAATATCCAAAAATAATATTTTAAATTTTTTGTAAGAAAATAGCTTAAATCGTTATTCATAAATTTAAACATCTAATTTCGTCACAATTTGCACTTAAAACATCGATTATACAAAAACTATGATTAGATATTTCCAAATGTTTTGGTTACAACATGAATTATTTATGAAAAACCATGGTTTAATTATTAGTTGTAAAAATTGAACTTTTTATAAATATTAACTATATTTGTACATTTTAAATATTTTGGAAAATTTCGTTGAAATTTAGAATTTGAACTTTAAAAACTTATAAATAAGAATCATGACTGTGTATCTTAAATATTTAAAAATTTTTAAATATTTTTATTCAAACTTATAGGAGACCTTGTTTCAATTTTTTAGTCTTTTCGACTCAACGAACAATATTTTATTAACATTTATACAAAAAAAATTAGTAAATACATTTAAAATGTCTATAGCAAGCTCAAGACGAGTCAAAATATTTTGAAAATTTGATCATCTTTATAAATAATGATACAATAAACATTTCGTGAAAATACCAAGTATACGGTTATTAGTTACGAAATGAGAAAATTGTTCGACGAGATTTCATTGATTTAGGGGTGAATATCCAACATCGACAATTTTGAACTTCAAGTTCAAGGTAAAAAAGCTTACAATGAATCCTGTGTTCAATTTTTAAATCTTAGATATAAAAAGAAAAATTAAAATGAAATTCTAACTTAAAATTATTTTCAAATTTCGTTAAAATAGTTAGCACCTATGTGTTGGTTGGATTCAGTTAGTGTGACTCGCAATAACCAAAAAAGATCAGTTTGTCTGATTTTTTACCACCTCATTGTTGTCATCAATTTCAAAATCAAATTAATGAAACTAAGGAATATTTTTTTATTGCTATAATTTCAATTTTATTTTTATAGAGATCAGCAAATAAGACATTTTAAAAAATAGAAAATAATTGAATAGGTAACTGTAATATCATTAAACATTGAGCATGCAGTAAAAACGAAATAGAAAAATATTTTCTTCATATAAGCAAAACAATCCATTAATTTGAGATTAAAGTAAAGCAATCGTCATAATTTTTCCTATCGATAATTTTTTAGACAAGTAGGTACGTTTCTTTTTTAGGGATGGTCCGAGTTTACGGCTAACTAGTCGAGCCTGCAGCTATAGTGTAGATATACTCGCCTTTTTGTCGAAGGAATAAATCGACTAGAGGTTCGCATTGGTTCTGTACGGCAAGATGCAATGGTGTGTATCCCTGTTTTGTCATGTTGATATTTACACTGTTGGTTTCCAAATACTTTTCGACCGCTGGCATGTTACAACTCTCCACCAATGCGAAGAAATGTTGTTCCTGAGGCGTCAACTCGTCCTGGAACGAATACATCTGCCCAGACATGTTTATCTTGGCTTCTTTCTGCGTGGAAAATAATATTTTAACGAATACAAGTATTAAAATGACACGACTTAGAATTGATTTTAAACTTAAATTTAAATACAATTTTAAGAAAACAAAACTGTCATGTTTTACATTGATATGATTACATGGTAACTTTACACATATACATGTTTTTGTGGATTTAACATGATATGTGTGTGCAGCAGTATGAGTTAATTACTTTTGACCCAATTAACACATGGATGTTCAGTAATGAAGGTTTGGTCAAGAACATATTTCTTTTAAATTTCAGTTAGTCCTTAACTCTAATGCTATAAGGCGTGAGTAAGTTATTACAATTTTTCGCTAACGTACAATAATTATTAGTCGATTTAAGTAATCAAATAATTTCAAATATATTATTTTTATACATATTTTAATACTTACTTTACCCATGGCCAAAGATTAAATCCTAGATTAATATGTATAACAGTTATAATATAATCATGGTTTACAAATTGATCTGTTTGATAATAGTAAACTAAACATACGTATTGACAATATATTATTATTATAACCACAGTAACCATATTTTCGCATTTTAAATTAAATGTATATGAGAAGTATGCATCAATAATAAACACTTATATAATGTAGGTAACTAAATGGGTACCTATTGATTTTATTCCCAAACTTTTTTTTTACTATATTATTTTATTTTTCACAAAACTAATAATACATTTTGCCTTTATAAAATAATGAACAAATGTATTCCAATAAGGTGAGAAATGAAATAGAAAAATTATACATGGAAGAATCCGTAATTTTTATTTTGCATAGTATTAATGTTTTTTTATAAATTAAGAATAGAAAATAAATTTAGTTATCAAATTCTAAGACTTTATCCTAAAACCCATGGATAGTTGTTATCATTTTTAAATTAAGGTTAATCCAACAGGCAACAATATTCTTTTTTTTTGCAACTTTGGCCTTTCTTGCAACACCGCACCAATATATACACATATAGAGGGAAATCGTGGGGTTTCCTATAAGAACCAAAAGTATCTACAGAATAACTATAATATTTTTACCGTTATCGATACTTTATTGCCAATATGCCAAATGTCAGTACTTAAAACTATCTTATTATGTTAAAATGATGTGCAATTTTCACTCATTATAACATTTAAAAAAAAAAGGGTGCAATTAAGAAAAAAAATATTTTGGTCAAAAATGCATAAACTATCTAGGTCCCAAAAACTACAATTTTATGCATATAGTGTTTACATTTGAAAATAACATATTCTACATGACCGGAAATCGCATAACCACAGGCATAAAAAAAAACTATGGCTATTTTCAGTACTTGGACATGGAATACTTTTATAATAAAAAATAATAAAAATGTTATTTTTTTTAAATATTTTTATTTTGATGTGTTTATTATTATTTGTTTTTATATTTTATAGTTAAAATATTCATCATTTTAAGTAATATTATCATAGTACTCTATGTATATTTTGTCTATAAAAAAAAAATTAATTTATATTCCATAAGTAGTTTAAATGAATGCGGACGACAGTGCGATAATACACGTACCTATATATACCTATATGTACCTATATAATATTATATATATATAATTTACCGGTCAAGTTTCTACTCTGCTTGAGCATTGTTACTATTGTACCAGAAACGTGTCTGTTTGAGCGAGTAAAACGAGGACGAAAAGTATAT